GTCCATAATGTGAGCGTCACATGTAATTATGACGCTTCATCACATGTTTCGGGCATCATGTTGTACGTCCTTGGCTCAGTTAGTCACAATAAGCCTGCGAAACTACAGTACACATATCAAAGAAGGAAAAATATCGAGTACTTCTTGTAATCGATTTGGCAGTGCTCAGTATCTCCGCCTGTCACGTAGAAGTCCCAGGTTCGATTACTGGCCAAGGAACCAGGAGGAAACAAACGTCAAAACTGAAACAAGTAGTAGTACTACTATTAACTGCCATAGTCAGTTATTAATAATAAGCACTATACTCAAGCCATTACTGACTAAGTCTTAGTTTGGTGTCTATCGGTTATAAATATGTTTGAACTAAAAGAAGTGATATTCTCTCAAGGAATGAAGCTCATTCTTTCCAGTACTATAACTAAATACCGATGACAGCAACATGAAACCTCGCAAAACGATACATCAGCTGAAGTCACCACACTTCACACTAGTACAAAACACCAAGTAGAGAGCAAAAGAGTGATATCAAAGTAAACAAAGTTGTGTGAGAGAACAAGTCGTTGGAAGATAAGGGTTAGTGTGAATATCCAAGCTTTAGGTGTCAAGGAGTAGATACACCTGTGCCACTCTGACCAACCTTCACCCATGTCATAAACAGTTTTCAACCACTCATTGCTATCATCTAGGGGACCCCAGTCTACATCCCCGTACATGGCTCAGACGAACTGTAAGAGACTTCATCGACTGGTGACACGCCTTCGTCAGGGCACTCTGAAACCTCTTCCAACTTAATCCAACTTCTCCTAGCATGGCACACCGACACAGGTGGTAGTAACTCTGCACGCACAATTCAAGTCCAAGCCATCTCAGTTGTTTAAGGTTCACAACTTCATCAATCAACTTGCCTGTCTTACTTGGCACCCATCGCCTGACCTCAGGATTACTCATACCTTATATCCACCAAACACAAGCAATCCAATGAAGACATCTGTAGTCGAAACGCTGTGCCCACTTCGTGTTTTCTGTTTTTAACGACGTTGTCTCAACAGTTAAACAGGACAGAATTGACTCCCAGTACACTCGTCCTTTTATAGATTGTCGGATATCTCAGCAAACGGCCCCACAGGTGAAGCAAGTTAGCAAATACCAAACTGGCCATCAGTATCTGAGCTGAAATTCCGTCAGCAACCAAACTGTTCAGGCTGATGTAACTTCACTCGTCATCATTAAGCTGCGAGGGATTGCGGACTAGTCCTACAACATCATATTACATTTGATAGGCACAAAGAAAACGCATGTCACTCGTATTACGATTTCTGCTCAACACGTTCACAACACCCTCCATTTCCTTAGTGTATTCACCCAGCAGGACAGTATCGTCTCCATACTCCAAGTCAACCACATTACCAACAAAGAACAGGAGTCAGTCTCTGTAACTTACGACATGCCAGTGATTGCGTCTATCACGAAATTAAGTAGCAACGGTGACGGACAGCACCCCTAGCACACACCACTAGTTGTCGTAAATTTACATGGACAATTTCTGCAATCTCACACCTATCACACCAGCATGAGTTCGAGTAGACGATTTCGATTAGCATTTTGTACTTGCTTGGTATTCCCTTCACAGTTAAGCACTGCCACAACACTATACGATCGACAGAATCAAATGCCGCCGTCACGTCAACAAATATGGTAAGTGTCGACCGCCGGTACGTATGCCTGTGTTCCAGAACTTCACGTTTCGTGGTGAGCTTTGGGTAGGAATACTACACTTTACGCTTTCCAGTGCTCCTAGTTTTCCAATGGTTCTCCAACGGAGCAAAGATAAGGGATGTACGAAGCCCAACTAGATACAAAGCATAGGACTATTAGCTCTAATTCCCATAACATCAACTATCCGTAAGAGTTAGAATACTACTAGAAAGGCTGGATGGTATGCGATGTATAATCTTAAAAATATGGCTCTTATCCACTCAGTGGACACTACCAACTAAATGACATGAAGCAGAGCTTCTATTCTGTTTTATTCTCTTCTACTTGTAACCTTTGAAAATATTAATTAGTCGGCGGTAGGATGCATCCATAACGCGGTCTGTCTACAGAAAACTCAGATGGACAGGGGAATATATGAACTGCCATAATGCTTGTCCCATCGAACGTATATGCACAGATGATACTTCGGCAGATGAGAGGGGAATATTGACTGAAACACTTGGAAAATAATTGTCCATCAACACTAATTAGTCAGTAAAAGTAACCAGAGTACTAGAACCAGCTCTTCACTTTTTCCCGAAGAAAAATATCTTCATTAGTCTTCCATACAAAGATGATTTTCACAGCACAATCCTTAACGCTGCTGCTGGAAGGGCTTACTATGCAGCTACGACACAACTAATAGAAACCACTTAACCTGTATACTCTTCCAAAACCTTACAGCATGTATACGATGGTGCCACATCCCATTGCATCTGTCAATTCAAATATACGCGTGGTTACACATATATAAGGAGGACTAATAGATCCATGCAAGCAAAGGCCTTGGAACATATTCGAAAGAAGCTTCAGAAGCAAATTAAACCCATAAATGTTGGTAGCAGATGTTCAAGTTCTTCGGTCACGAAACATATTATTGAGAAAGGTCACACGACTGACGTAGTTACTTCCTTATGATCTATTTACAAAACGTGTTAGGGACGGATCCTTAAATTTATTGAGGCCTTAGCTATTAAAAAGATCAAGCCAGCTTTGTGTTAGGAAACAATTTGTTATTACATTAAATCTCCCTTGGTGAATCCAACTATGAAACCAAGTTCGATGTACTATTATTTTCTCTCTATTGATTTTCATCGTTATTCAGCCTTAGATTCAGCCCTCCTCTTTTCAAATTCTCACTCCTTATCTTCATGAATTTCCCTATAAAACTACCTATGACAAGTACGCGCGTTCGAAATGGGTTGCGTAAATGCATTACACGGTTCAAACAAATCAAGGCTTCTTATTGTTTTGTCGACAAAAATAAGCATGAAACAATTAGAAAGGAAACAATACGTTGTGCAAACAATCAGTATATAAAAGCTCAAGTAAGGGAGCTGAGCCAATCGAAGAGACTCCTGGGAGATATTTACGGAATCGCGAGCCAACGAACAGACACCAAGGATCGTTTGATGTAATTTTGCTCTGATAATCAATGCCATATGTAGGACTTGAAACCAACGATAGAAATAGATAGATCCCATTGCTATAATCCATCGTTGTAAAGAATCGGTGGAGTATTGTCGCTCTTAATAAAGTACCAGTTTAAACTACGATCATGCGCCAGTACGAGCTCCCACATGTCTGGAGCTTCAGGGCTGCAGGAAAGAGTAACCAGTGAGGCCTATCTGTGCTCAACCAATAAATGGGAGTATCAAGGTCAGAATTTAGAAACCGGTAGCCAAGCATTTATCTGAACATATCAGCAATGCTCATCCTGAGGAAACCTGGCGTGACATCAGGTCTATAGTAGAAGCATTGGAAAAGACAGCTGGTAACCTACAAACGTCCTTAGATTTCTGCGACGTCATCCGAACTAATTGATGCAATAAGACTGCTTCCACCTAGCACTGAAAATGATGAAAAGTGAAAGCAACTTGAAAGTATGTTGAACAAGAGTCTTCGCGTCGACCGCAAGCACTGGTAGATGGCGAAAGCAAGAGAGATTAAGAAGGCATCAGTGTTGGGTAACATTTGGCGACGAGGAGTAGAAACCATCACCGAAAGGATGGGACGTCGATAACCTTTCAGGATAGGCATCAAGAAAGTTGGGCAGAACACCTTAAAGCACAGTTTAACTGGCCCTCAGTAAGGCTTCAGTTGCCCAGCACCCAGCCTGAACCTGAACGGGAGGTAGGTGTCTGTCTTGCAACTCCTTGAAGTTAAGAAGGCCATATCGAACTGGAAACGAAGCAAAGCAGCAGGACCTGACAGTTTACCATTCTAAGTTTTCAAGGATGGAGGTAGGAAATTGCTAATTACATTGACGGAGGTACTGGGTAGTGCATGGGAATCAGTGTTAGTGTCATCAAAACTGGTCTACTTCACTGATCATCCCAGTCTATGAGAACGGAGAGAAATCTTCTTGTGGTAACCATAGGGAGTTAGTTTGACTAATGATGTGTCGAAGATCCTAGACTCGCTAGTTATCCGACGCTTAAGTGGAGCTCGAGAATAGCAAATTCGAGGGAAGCAGACAGGTTTCAGACGTGGACGAGTGTGCGTCGACCAGATTTTTACCCTCCGACAGGTTCTGGAACACAGGCATACGTACCGGCGGTCGACACTTACCATATTTGTTGACGTGACGGCGGCATTTGATTCTGTCGATCGTATAGTGTTGTGGCAGTGCTTAACTGTGAAGGGAATACCAAGCAAGTACAAAATGCTAATCGAAATCGTCTACTCGAACTCATGCTGGTGTGATAGGTGTGAGATTACAGAAGTTTATCCTTGTAACAAACTTGAGAGATGCGGAAAGGTTTTAGACGTGAATGAGTGTGAGGCGGTGATGTTTTCGCCGTCCGAGGGGTTCTGCATCGCAGGGATATATAGTAGCGTCCGGCACATTTTGCGTTTGCAATGCAGTGGGAAAGACTGTTTTTCTTATTTGCGCTGAATAGCAGATTCACCTTCGGAAATTAAGGTTGGTAGATCGTTGAACCTGCTTCAAGTTAGAACCCTTTTGGTTTTTAATATTGTTATTTCCTTTAGCGATTGACGGTTACTGTTTCGTAATTTATCTTTTGAACCATGTTTTATTGATACTGGTTGGTCATTAAGGGTGAAATGAATATCTGGGTTGCAGCCGGATTCTAGCCGGTGGTGTCTGAGTTGAGCGTCTGGTTGCTGTACTAACTTAGCTGCGACGGACTGCTTTTCAAAATGGTTTATTTTGTTTGATATTTTTCAAAAAACTGCTCACCCTTCTCTTGTACGCTTTTATTTTTGTGGATTTTTTTTAGGAAGCTAAGGTTCACGTTGAACTTTGCGCAGATAAATTGAAAGCGTGTAAAGCTATATATGCTGAGGCAATGTCGAAACTTGAACATTTTTCCAATTCAGTTCATATACTACGCCAAAGTCAATGTACCAGTAATGATGATATGAATAACCGTGATAATTGTTATCTAAGCAACACAAATAATGATGAATATACTCATTACAGTCTACGAAGTAGTAATCTAGTCATCAATTCAAAAGATACTGATAATAAATCAACATCTCACATGTCTTCCAGTTTAAATCAGACTCCTACAAGTTTTGATGGGGTTTTCACCGATGAAGTTCGACAAATTAATGAAGTGAATAAAGTACACCAGTGTTCTACACACTTTTCTGTTTGTGATCTACAGATGAACAGTTCAAAGACAAGAATATTTCCAATAATGGATGGTTTGTTGGAGGTAATTTCCTTTCATATAAGAGTTATTCAAATGAATCCTATTGTATATTAATGATGGGTCATGACTTGCTAGGAGATCTAGGATACAGGTGCACCTAACCTGCCTCTCTGTTAGTGATGTTGTCCACATTAAGACTCGAACCCTGGGACCGTTCGCTTCAAACGCTAGAGCGTTATCTGCTAGGTCGCCGAGTCACAATTATTATTATTATTATTAGTCCCTTGGGTTCCTAGTGGAACATAGGGCTTCAGTAGCACGCCTCCAGTGAACTCTGTTCTCTGAGATCTTTTGAACCTGGTCCCACGACAGCCCAGAAGCTCTCATTTCCTGCTCGCACGACCTCCTCCATGTCACCCTCGGACGTCCAACTCGTCGCTTCCCATGGGGATTCCACTCGAGGGCCTGACGCGTGATGTCCTCAGTCGGCCTTCTCAGTGCATGCCCAATCCATCTCCACTTCTTCCTGCATATTTGTTGCGTGATAGGTTCTTGGTTGGTTCGTTCCCAGAGTTCCTTGTTGCTTATTTTTTCTGGCCATCTGATCATCAGCAGCGAGCGTAAGCAGTTGTTGATGAATGTCTGTAGTTTATTGGAAATACCTTTCGTGACGCGCCAAGTCTCTGAGCCATACAGAAGCACTGACTTGACGTTGGTGTTGAAAATCCGTATCTTGTTCACGCTTTGTGCTGAGTGCAGAAGATCTCCACACTGGTTTCAGGCTAATCAACGCCTGTCTTGCTTTTCCGATTCTGACTTTGACGTCCTCGTCCGTCCCGCCTGTAGTTGAAACAGTGCTTCCTAGATAAGTGAAGGAGGTTACTTCCTTCAAGTTTCTCCCGTTGACGGTGATTGGAGTTTGTTGTTGTTGTTGATGGTGGTGGTGCGGTATCTTCATCACTTCTGTCTTCTCTATATTCACCTGAAGTCCCGTCTTAGCTGCCTCTTCTATCAACTTGTTAGTTTTTGCCTGCAGATCTTCAAGTTTGTGTGACATTAGGCATAAGTCATCGGCGAAATCCAAGTCTTCTAGGTTCTTTTCCGTCGTCCAGTGTATCCCCCTTTTCTCGCTGCCTACTGTTTGCTGCATGATCCAGTCTAGTCGACCACAATAAGGAATATCATGGTGGATAGTAGGCAACCTTGTTTCACTCCTGTCTTCACTTCAAAGGCATCACTGAGCTTCCCATTGTGGATTACGCCGAGTCACAATACCTACTTCTTTTGCGATGAGTGTAGTTTTTATGTTGTTACTTGGGTATAACGCTCTGTCGTATGAAGTCATCGACCCTGGATTCCAGTTTCAGTGGGAGCAACATTCCGCATTAAGAGGTAGATACATCCAACTGACGAGTCTCAAACAGAAAGAAACACGCTTCCTGTATTCCACTGCCAGTCACTATCCATCATTGACATAAAACAAACCCAAGCAATATCGAGACATCCTCGCAGGAGCCCATATGCCTGTAGAGACCTATATATTCGTCCCAATCACTAACGGGATAAAACATGTAACATCAGTAAGACTTCGGTTGTATTCGACAATTAACAGATTTGAGTTTCGGAGTAAGTTATTTTAGTATTTGGGCCTAATACCATCAAATATCACTCCTTGTGTGCAAGGTCAAGATACTGAGTATAATTCTAATCATCACAGGATAAGTTTCGTCTATTGTATGATCATTTCTGGTGACGACGTATACACTTATGTATCATTTCTTATGATCTGGATTCCTATATGACTTGAGTCTCTAATGTTTTAACTTGACAGGTTTATCTTTTATTTTTTTTTCAGTAGTGCTCGTTGTTTGGTGACTAA